GTAAGCCCTTTTCTCGGGTGGCTGTTCTTCCTTACCCTTTGCTGTGGTCCTTCTTTTCCGGGGCGCCCTTTTTGCTAGATCCTCGTCAGACTTATATGAGGAGTTCCAAATTTCCATAGTCCTAACGGAGGACTCCCCTCGCTCCGTTGCTCTAGCCTGGCCACTCCGTCTCCGGCGCGGCCTTACCCTCTGCTCAGAAGCTCTTGGGCATTGTCCTTGGGTTGTTGATGGCTTTTTGGGGGAGCGAGTTCTTCTTTCGGTACGGAAACTTCTTGGAGAAGACCGTCTATCCGGTTTGCTCAACTCCCTCTCAGCTGGCACCACGACAACCATCCGCTGGTTATCCATTTTCCCTGATGACCGGGAAAAACTCAGGCTGCTACTGGAGGACAAGGACTTCTGACCAGTAACGCAGACATCTTCAGCAGAACTGTCTTTGGATGATGGACTGTTTTGATTTTTCCCCCCCGAGGACCGGGGGACATATGATGGGGCACTGTGATCCCCTTCTCTAGGGCGACCTATCAGAGCATCTCGGTATGAGCGGCGCTGCACACCTGTCGGGCTGTCCTGAGCACTCACCTCCTCAACCATTCTCGGGAGAGTTGGGTCTTGCTGTAACCGGTAATCACGTACAGGCTCAAAGACAGCTTGTTCGTTGCTAGCCTTCTGGTGGGGAGCTCGATCCTGGCGGTGGCTCGACAGCTTAAATATATTCCCGTTGATCCAATCCTCAGTGAACAACCCAGAACTGCAAGCCTCTGTCGCCATCCGTCTCAACCAGGCACGCCAACCTTTCCGGCTGGCGATGCTGACTTGTCCCATAAGGGCCTCTTTCATGCGTCGATCAGAGATATTGGTTCGGTAAAGGTGACTCATGACATCCCGAGGGTCTAAGAGTTCTCTTCTCTTAGTGGCGTCCTCTACTGTTTTGAGATGCTTGGACATCACTCCGGTCCACTTGCCACCTGCTGCCATTGTGTCACCTGACAAAACAGAATAAAAACTAATGTTTACTAACCGCGCGTTCCTTACATAAAGAACACTTGAACCGGTCAATGTCTAGGGCATCAGAAGGAGCAATGTTGATGCATGACCCATGGTACCATTCAGCGCAGTAATCGCACTGTATCATGAACTGCCCATCCCATGGTTTCCTACAGATACAGTATACCTCACTATCTGCCTTTGTGTTCCCATTTTTTCCGGTCTCTCCCGCTACCGGGAGATTGACAGTGAAATTCCGAACCCAGGCAGGTAGCTGACGGTCCCTGCAGGGCTTTAGTTTGTCATGGTTTAGCACTAAGATTTTATTATGGAGCTTTACGCGAAACAGGTACGGTGTAATTTTCTCCACAATTATCCCAGGTCCCTTCCACGGAGGACATAGTTTCTTACACTTCCCCTTTACGGAACCACTATCAAGGATGTAAACAATATCCCCTTCTTTGTAGGACCGCTTCAGTACTCTTAGGTCATAATTTCTTTTCATACGACGCTGTGTTTCCTTTAATGTCTGGCGAGCTACTTGATGAGCTTCCTGCAGAGAATCCACAAGTTCTTGAATATATGGCGCGACTCCTCGTTGTACAGAAGCACTACAAGATCCAAACATTAGGTCTGCCGGTAGGTTCACCTCCCTGCCTAACATCATTTTGTTCGGTGTTAATCCTGTGCTCCGATTTACTGTCGATCTTATTGCTCCTGCCAATTGTGGAAGAAACACATCCCAGTCGTTCTGTCGTTTACCGACAAAACACCGGACTGCGTCCATCAGAGTTCTGTTAAAACGTTCTACTTGACCATTGGAAGATGGACGATAGGGTGTGGTGTGCGCCTTATGGATTTGTAAAATTTCACAAATTGCTGTGAAAAGGTCACTCTCAAAGTTGCGTCCTTGATCAGAGAACAATCGAAATGGAACTCCAAATCGGGAAAAGAAGTTGTTGATCGCAGCCTTTGCTGTAACTTCAGCTGTCTGAGATGGGGTTGGGATAATCTCTACCCACTTAGTAAACTGATCGACCATCATCAAGATATGCTCGTTCTCCCGCTCGGTTTTTGGCAGAGGACCAAGAAAATCTATGTGAACTCTCTCCATAGGGGCTCCAGCATGATGTTCTACAAGAGGATACCGGCCATGCCGATTAGTTTTTTTATTACGGTTACATACCTCACAAGTGGCAACAAAGCTTTCCACATCCTGGGTAAGTCCGAACCATGCAAATTTCTCCTTTACTTTCTCTCGCGTCCGGGCGATACCTTGGTGACCAGCTGAGGGCAAATCATGGTGGAGATGGAGCACGGTGTGTTTTAAGCCTTTTGGTACTAATAGTCTCTGAACATCACTGTCCTTAGCTTTCATGAAGAGAACATAACCCTTAGCCTCAAGCGCTCCTTATTGATCCAATAGAACTTGGAAGCTGGGCTGGACAAGAATAGCTCCTCGCTAGATGGTGTCACTTTATTTAACATCCAATTTAGAACCAATAACAAGTCTGGGTCCTTTGCTTGTTCTTGCATAATTTCTTCCTTGGCAAATCCCCAACATTGTTCGTCCTTGACAGATTGCACATTTGGTACAATCTCACCTCCCTCAGTCAAGGTACTAACCCGACATAGCCGAGGGCACACTTCAATATATCTCGGATTCTTATCCTCTGTTCCGCCCGGATCCCACATCTTGGATGTAGTAGTTCCGCCTTCATTCACCTGGGGAACTGGAACTGTCATTGCAATAGGTACCACATCATCCACACTTCCGATAAACTCGCCCCATCTTTCATGCGCTCGTTAAATATTTGCATCCCCCACAAGGTAAATCCCTTGGATGGATTCCATGGATATAATGGCTATCTTCTGATGGTATCCTCGACAGAGCATCGGCATTTACATGGAGGTTACCTTTGCGATGTTCCAAAATCATGTTGTACTGGCTTAGCTCCTCAATCCACCGAGCCAAGAAGGTAATGACGAAACTGTCGTGTTAATCGGACAATAGCTAGTAACTCCTTCCGAGTAGTGCAGTACCGTTTTTGTTCCGGTGTAAGTGCAAAACTAGCATAGGCTATAACCTTCTCTTCTTTATCCACAACTTGCAATAGCTCTCCACCGATAGCCTCATCTGATGCATCAGTGTCCAGTACAAAGTCGTCAAACTGATTTGGCAATGCCAATATTGGTGGTTGTATTAGCTTTGCTTTTAATGTATCAAAAGCTTGTTGTTGTTCTTTTTCCCATTTAAATGGTTTTTTTCCGGTGATCCCATACAGGGGAAGAGCAACTTCTGCAAAGTCCTTAATAAAGAGCCGATGATAGTTTGCCAAGCCGAGAAATCGCTCCACATCTTTAGTACTTGTGGGAATAGGCCAATCTCTAACAGCCTCTATGTCGCTGTACGACATAGCTAGGGTGTCCTCACCCACAATACGACCAAGGAACTCGACTTTTTTCTGACAAAAAACACACTTTTTTGGTTTTAGCTTTATTCCATAGTACCGGAACCTGCTTAAAGCCTCACATAAATTGTTGAGATGGTCTTTAAAATCTCGTCCCAGAATCACAATGTCGTCAAGAAAAGCTAGGGAGGTTTTCCAATTCATTCCACTGAGAATTAAGTTAATAACCCTGGAGAATGTTGCTGGGGAGTTGCACAGACCAAATGGCATTTTCACAAATTCAAAAAGTCCATATTTAGTGATAAAAGCCGTCTTCTTCCTGTCCTCCTCAGCAATTTTCACTTGCCAATAACCCCACACCGCGTCTAACTTCGAAAACCACCGATTTCCGGATAGTGTATCCACAAAGTCCTCAACCAAGGGCAATGGATATACATCTTTAACTGTCAAGTTATTCAAAGCTCTGTAATCTATGCAATATCGAACTGACCCATCTCGTTTCCGGACTAAAACTGGGGCTGAGGCCCATTCGGAAATTGAAGGCTGGATGACCCCTGCCTCAAGCATCTTAGTTATTTCCCCTTCCTCTTCCTTAGCAAAGTGGATGGGGGTGCGCCTCATCCGTTGTTTAACCGGTGGCGCTCCTTGAGTATCTATTCGGTGCTCAATTTCTTTGAATGTTCCGATGTCAAACACATGTGAAGCGAAAACGTCCTGGTACTCGCTTATAACCGATGTCATGGCCTTGAACTCCTCATCAGTTAAGCTTCCTTGTGAACGATCCAACATCTCCCTCACATGTTCCGGTACCTCCCTTTTTCTAATGTCCACCGAGCTCTCCTTTGCACCAACATCCATGACTGTTCCATTTCCATACTCAGGAAGGATTTCAGCCTCCATAGCCTTTCCTATGACCTGTCCTTTCTTGAACACAGTGAAAAAGTTTGAGAAATTAACCACACAGACAGAAGGTCTATCCGCACTCTTGTGCACCGACCTAGGGATTACATACCTGGCACTCTCTTCCATCTCTACAACATAATCAGGTAGGGTATGGTCCAGATTGCAAGGTACATGTGCCACCGAATGCGGTGGGATCACTCGTCTCTTGGCAACCGTTACCCGGCTGACTCTTGGTAGGTCATCACTGCTGCCTACCCTAAGAGAGGTAGTATTTTCACCCATTTTTAACAGGTGGTTAGCCATGTCTATTTGGGTTCCTTGACGAATCAAAAAATCAAACCCAAGCAGCATATCGTCTTCGATGGGGGCAACGTGAATGATCTCATTATATACTCCAGCGCCGATTTGTAACTGAACAGGACCGATCTTTAAACCCATCATGGCTGCATCGCGGGCTGCAGTTAGAAACTTCATTTTCAGGCATGTGAGTGGTATTTTTTGAAAAAGTCTGAAAAGTAATACGAGCGCCGAAGGCGCGAGTGGGGGGGAGAGTATGAGAGGGGGGGTTTGAAAATTTTTGAAAATTTAGACTGCCAGGGATGCATTTCTAGCCACTTAAGGGGTATACCATCAGATATTTTGGCATGCATTTCTTGCCATAATAAAGTGTAATACCAATAAAAAAACTCAACAAAACTGTTTGAAATTTTCATCAACATGACAATTTATACACTTACCATGGCCAGTTCACAACTAATGTTCCACAGAATGAGATACTTGAGTGTAATCCAATTGCAAGAAAAATGTTTAAGTTTGTTAAATGTGTTTTGTTAAATTGTAAAAAGTAAATACATGTTCCACATATGTCCAACTGTAGTTTAAATCTAAATTGTTTTGTCAGTTCACAAATTACTTTTCACAATATAGCTAGAGACTATATATGTACACTTTCACATTAATATTGTAATATATTTAGATTGTAATATATTTACACTGTAACAGTAAAATGTAGCACGAACTTCACTCAAATTATGTCCCTTTTTTAGACTTTTTTCTGGTTTTTTTTTAAGATTTCATCATCAGTTGTTTGTGAGCCAAACGTGCAATTTTGGAAGCTCTTTCTGACTGTTCTGAAGCCTTTCGTTTTGTTTCAACATTTGCTTTTCTCACTTCTAATTCTCTCTTTCTCTGTTCCTCCTGTTCTTTGGCTTTCTCTTTTTCACACTTGTATGACTTATATGCACTCCTCATGTTATTAAGAAGTCTCCTCTGTGGTGCATTATTTTGGAAGTCATGAGGTGAAAAATATTCCACAGCAGTTTTCTTCTGTGCTTGTAATGTGGACTTCACAGTTTGAATTGCTGAATAGGTTTCAATCTTCATTCTTGAAGATTTAGGATCCATGATGTCCCCCATCATGCTGAATGAGCCTTCCACCTGTGGACCATGGAAACAGGTCAACAAGGACAATACCATCTTGCTTAAGACAGGATACTGTCCTTTCATTTGAACATCTGCCCACCAAGTGTCTATTCTCATGTTCTCAAATTCTGGCAACTTTTCATCTCGTTGGTACCTTCTTAATTCTCTTTCATACTGATTCTTCTCTTCTTCAGATAATACATTATCAACTTTCAGCGCAAGGTTCTGAAGGTACTGCAATGTAAGGGAGTGGCCCCTTGCACACGGGTCTATAGCTGAAAGGCTCTGTAGCAGTGAGTTTCCAATAGGCAGTTTTGTTTTTAATACATGACCACTGGCAACATAAGCAGATTCAAGGTTCTCAAGGAAGCTTCTTACTATATAAGATTTGATATTTTCCTTTACAGTGCGCAACGCATTAACACCCATGAACATGTGAACTGGTTTCAGATGCATATCTTTACTGTGTAGATCAAGTTTTGCAAGGCGACTGGCTGTAATATTCTGTAATTTTTCTGGTTTAATAAAACAATCCAAGAACTCCCTGATAAGTTCAAGTTGCTTATCATGTAGTATATGCACTAGAGGTTCTTTCATCTCAAACAGAAGAGTGAAGTTTTTCAACAGAGGCAGAACACTACTGTACAAATTCAAGACAAGTTTGATCAGCATTCTCTCATCAAAAATTTTGCCTAAGATTCTGTCTTTTCTATCTCGTCCATCCTTTGTCAACGATTTTTTGGACAGAGATAAGTGGATTTCTCTTACTCTTTCCTTTGCTGCATCACTTACGCCTATCCTTCTATAGATCTCTTGTACAATAGGAAACACTTTTGGCTTTTTGTCTGGTGTGATAAAGCCAGCATAGAAAACACTATAAACATCCATCAGACGTAATGTGTCAACTGCTACAGTGTACACTGAAAGCCATCTGTGGTTTACAAACCTGAGGGGAGCTGTGTATTTAACACCTAAAATGACACAGATTTCTTGCATAAAGTCTCTCAAATCTGCAGACCACTTTAAATCATTATGTAGATCATTAAACAGCGACTCTACAACATAGCCAAATGGTTTACAAAATGCCTTTGTAGCGTTATGGACATGATGACATGAGTCCCCATCTATATCCAACAAGTGTGGTGCCTTTTCCCTTCGAATACGAACTTCTAGGCCAGACTTTGATCCCCTCATCACATTACATGAATCCATTAATATTGACATAAGGTTTGTCCATGGTATGTTGTTACTTTCAATAACATTTACCAGTTCATTATAAAGAGTGGCAGTCAACTTTTATTACACTTAAGGATGCTAAATGATTAACAACAATTTCTTTCTTTGTTGGACAGAAATAAGAAACTAGAACAGCCAACACCCTGTGAAAGTTATCACTAGTGGCCTCATCGATGTTTAGTGAAAACTTTGAAATTCTTAAAATTTCCGTCAAGTTCATCATTAATGTCTTTCCTAATCCAAAGGTCATTTTATATGAAGCTGTTGTTCTGTTCATCTGTAGTTCACTAAGAGCCTTGGTATCTTTTGATAGTTTTTTTGTCAGATCAATCAAATCTGTTGTCAAGCTGAATGGGAGATTATTTTCAGTAAGAAAACCAAGGATAGTCGCTTCCATATTTATAAGTCTGTCGTTGACTGGCACTAACAACTTGGGTGCATCTTTGATGTCACTGGACTGACTGGTGACTGAGCCTGACAATTTTCCGTTCAGCGATGGGTGTAGTCCATAAGGTTCATGTGTGTCATTAGATCTGGCACCAGATGAAAATAATCCTGTAAAATATAAAAGAACAAATACTGAGCTGATGCCTGTATACTTGGGCAAAGTTTGCATTGATTTAATTATAAACTTTTAAGAATTATAAAATGTTTCTATAAATAAAATCTTAATAGGGAATACGGGAAAATAACACTGAGCCTGTTTATTTTTGTATTATTTATTAGAATATGTTTTAATTTAGGCCCAAGTTTGCATTGATTTAATTATAAACTTTTAAGAATTATAAAATATTTCTATAAATAAAATCTTAATAGGGAATACGGGAAAATAACACTGAGCCTTTTAATTTTTGTATTATTTATTAGAATACGTTTTAATTTTATTTATTTATATTTATTAAATACATGTACAGTTATTTATATCATCTTGCTTAGCTGTTTTTATTGATATCAAATATTTATATTTTTTAGCCGTTTTATACCAAATCTTATCATTATCGTCTTTAATTTTTATTTGGGATTAAATTTTTTATTTGCTTTTTTTTTCGTTTTTTCGAATGAAAACAATAAACTGCAACACAACTTACCGGCCAAAGAATAACTGCTCTTTTTTGCTTCCTTGTGTTTTCGATGTTTCTCTGATTTAACATGGGCCTCTATGGTCTTGTAACCCCTACTGGCATAGTTTATCTCCTTCGAGCAAAGCCGACAATATGCTTTCCCAGCTTCTTCAATTTTGTAGATGCACGCTGACAACAAACTGCCTTCAACTTCTTTTTCTAGCCAACTCCATTTCCATGCGTTTCGCACGCCGACATCAACGTCCTTCACACTACCTCGTTCTATTATATCTTTCCGGTGACTCATATTGCCTTAAGTCCTTTTAAAACATAACATTATCATGTCAAGGTCGATATGTAACATACGGGCACTTTAAATCAGTGTGTACTTGATGCTTTGACTACCTACGTTGATCCAAGCGTTTCTACGATCTACTTCAGGCAAGTATAAACTGCAAAACGAAAACGGACACCACAAATCCGGATTTTTTTACCGACGAAAAAAATCGGAAAAATATTTCTAAAAATCGGATTTTTTTGTTAAAAAATCGGAAATCCGCCAATTGGCGGAAATTTCACATGCCTGCATTTTACACAACGTGGGAGGTTTGGGATCCATCTGTTGATAAATCTTGTCTGAGAGGATAGTTGACTCAGCTGCTGTATCAACTATAGCATCCACAGTTATATTACCGACCTGGATTGCAGTGTGATACAGGGAATTAGACTTTACTTTATTCAGGCTCATGACCTCAAGATCCTCACCGACCTTATGTTGATCCTGTGGATCCTGCGATATAGTTGATTCCATACATTGTGAATGGAATGTTTGTCTCTCCTGATTTGTCTGTGCTAGGGGTTGTTGGTGCTCAGTGACTACCAAAATTTCCAGTTGCTGAGAACTAGGTTGTGTCAGTTTTGGACTGGAAGGATTCAGTGGGCCGGAGAGTCGTCCGTCTTCTCCAACCCTACTGTGTTTAAAGACTCTTCCTTAAATGTAACCTCCTTCCTGGTACTCGGACAATCCCGCATGTAATGTCCAGGCTGCTCACACTTAAAACAGTTATTGTGCTTAGGCGATGTACTCCGACTCCGGTTACGGGACTTACATTCCGCTAAAAGCATGTCAAACTTACTGCTTATGTCGGTACTATGCTGCTCCATCTTGAGTGATAGCTGGGTTAGCTGTGACTTTAAAGATGAAACACTTCCTTCCAGTGAGGAGACCCGCTGCTCTAAGGTTGCAGTGTTACCGGTTTGTCTGAGTATAGACGGCCCAGGAGACCCTTTAGCTTGTACGGATTTCCTATCCTTACATGGCACACTTGCGTACTGACGTACTTCTCTCACATTTGACATATCCTCATCTGACAGGTCTGATGAGTCATCCCCGTACCTGGTTCGATAAACCGGCAGCACCTCTGGACGTGATCTCTTTTTGAGGTCCTGTGGATGGTGTATGCATCTATACCACTCTATTTCTTCTATAGCATCCTCCAGAGACTTGTGTTTCTTCATGCATGCATACTTCCCAGCCTCCTTTTCTTTACATCCGAGACAAAAGCGCATAATGGCATGTTTCCTAACCCAAGACTCTGGGAGGTCCTTGTAAGCTTTAACAGCTAGACCAAGTACCCGGTCTGCCCAGTCATGCAGGGTCTCATCCACATCCTGACAGGCCATTTGAAACTTTGCCTGCAAAGTTTCCTGAAGCTCTGCGCCGTGGAAGCGTTTGTCGAACTCCGATATTAATTTCCGGTAGGACAAAGTGGGGTTCATCTCCGACAATAGGTGATAATAGTCCCCAGCCTTACCAGTTAAACCCCAACACAAGGCATCACGCCGTTCGTCTCCTGTCCAACCAGCTGCCTCAGCATACTTTATAAACTTCTGTTTAAATAATGGCCAATTAGACCGGCCATCAAACTCCAGGTGTTTGGGAAGTATGGGTGGTCTCCCTTTATGACGTCCTGTTGAGGCAGAGTATGGGGGATCCTCCTCACTATCCTCTAAGAACTCTGGCGGGGCATACCGGTGCCGGTTTGGACCACCATGATGTGATGGCCGACCTCTTGTAATACGGACCATCTCCCCCTCCTCTTCACTGATATGGCGGCGGGACCGGGGGCGGGAGGTAGAGGCAGGCCGTGACACCCTGGAGGTCCGAGGAGGAACATAGTCCTCGTCAGACTCGTCATAGCCTGTGTACAGATGGTAACTCGACTTGGTACGTGAAGCTGGAGGGGGTGCCCTCTGTTTATCCTCAATTACCTGCAATAGGGCTTCATGGGGCACCGGAGGATTTACATCATTCGCTGCCGACTGGTCCTTCCGAGGGGGGCAGGAACCCTTCCCTTTATCAGATTCCTCAATGTAATGGAGATCTGGCTGATTCGCATCACCGGATAAGTGAGGGTTTGGCTCAAAATCTAAGGTTTGGAGCAATCGATGGGTAAGGCGGAGTCTGGGAATATCAGCGATATTATCAGGAGTTATATTACCGTATGCTAACCGGTATTCCACGATGTTACGCGCTATTTTCTTACCAATGTCCGGTAAAGATTGTAATTCGCGTTCCTTACACCAATTTATTCTAGTAGCCATGATGAAAGGACGGTGGAAGGGAAATGAGGCAACACAAAGGCAGAAATCTGGGTAATGGCAATCGAATGGATATTGGGAGGATAGGATATGTCCTGATCCCTGGACATATAAACCGTGTACAATACAATACCCGAAAACCGGTTAAATTGTGATAAAAAAATAATAATAATAATTAAAATAAATAATGTTGGAAGAACAATATATATTGGAAACGTAAACCGGCGTCCCACAACAGAACTCCAGGTGGTATACACAATAACGGAATGGATAGACGAGTGTTTGTACAATACCAAATGAATACTATATACCACACACCGATAAATGGATATCACTGATAAGAAATAATTGCAGTTTCAAAATCCGATTCCCGTCGTACAATGCAAAGTTACAGCAGTTGCAGGAACGCACAAGCCTCATGTAAAGTAGATTGAAGTCTGCCGCGAAACCGGGAGACTATACAGGATGTGACGTCAGGGCTATTAAATGCACAGAACGTCGTGGCCACAATTTTGCAAATTACACGGCAAAATGGTTAAAACAAGCAATACAAAGTAATAAAGCAATATTCAAGGCGTATGGCAGGGTGTTAAACCTGCACGATAACTGACAGAGAGACCGATGTGAAAGGTGGTACTGTCAGCCGAGATTTACCTCGTCGCCATTGTTGTGTCAAGCGTGACTGTCGTCTGCTCAACACTAATTAGTTACCTCTTCAGTTGATACGAGGGATTTCTCTTCAGCGTTGTTTCCGGGGGTTAGCCGTTTCCTGAAGAGAATTACTGTCTCCGTTTTACCGGGGACAAGTGTGGACACTTTTGTCAATCAGTGTTGGTTATAAATTAGTTCCTGCTAGGAGCACGTGTATGTATCAATCTGTCTAGTTTTTCTTTGACTCTGATGCACCGTGTGCAAAAACCCGGCCACCCGTGACGACCCTGGGTCACCGACACGCTTGGACCTAATTTCACTACACAACTTTCCGAAGTACTGGCCTTTCTTTAAAACGATTAAATGTTCTCTCTGAAATAATCGAGATGTCTGCACCTGTGTCTATTTTGAAAGTGACTGATGCCCCACAGACAGGTAAAATTACTTTCCAGGCCTCCGATGAGCCGGTACTCACTGCACCTAGAAAGAATTCGTCCGAATGTTCTTGTACAACTTCATGAACATGTTTGGCTTTACAACAAACAGCAAAATGATTCAACGACTTGCATTTATTGCACCGTTTACCATAAGCAGGACATGACCCTTTTGCATGTGACCGGTTACAGAATGTACACCTTTGTCCTCCCTGCGCATGACCGTCATGCTTTTGTTTACCCGAAACTCCATATTGTTGACGTTTTTGTTGAGTAGGACGTTTCGTCCCCGACTTTTTACCTTTACTCACTGCATCGACTGATACCGACGATTGATCTTTAATCTGTGACTTGACTTGTTCCGACTGTCTAGCAATTTGTAGTGCTGTCTCTAAAGTTAAATCGGCTTTAAGCTGTAATTTCTCGGAAATTGACTTGTCCGTGATACCGATTACTAGTCTGTCCCTGATGTTATTGTCTTTCTGTGTACCAAAATCACAGTGTTCAGCCATTTCAAATAACGACCTCACAAATGCTTCAATCGATTCTGTAGGACCCTGGGACCTAGAGCTGTCCGGTTATGGGAATTGACCTTCGGTTTCGGTTTCGATTCGGTTACTTGATTAAAAGTTGATTTTCGGTTTTCGGTTTTATTCAACAATAGATCTATAACTGGTTCACAACTCGTGAGACAATAAAATAAATAACAAAATATGATATTCCAACTCAAACATGAAAGAGAAACAAAAAATATACCACCTGGTATTTCAACAAGAATGCACAAACCTATCAACAGTAACAAGACAGAAAAAAATAATAGAAAATATAACAGGTTTGGTTTCAGCTATAATGAATATGTTATAACACAGTCTGGAGTTTCAAAATTCGAAACTTGTTATGGAGCTGCAAGTGTGCAATATGGTTCAAAGAAAACAGTAACAATAATAACATAGGCAAGACTAGACTGACTAACACTTCTTGTGCCATGAATGAGTATTGAACAAAACTGTTTTTTTTGAACACATCAGGGTGTTAATTTTCCTTCTCAACCAAGTCAGTACCACAGTTCACTGTCGCAGGTTATGTCCGAGAAAGGTAAGTTGCTCAGCAAAAAATGGCTCAAGACAGGATCTTCGATTGGAGATGAGACCAGATTTGCTGAACATGCGCTCGCTAGGAACAGAGGTGGCTGGTATCGAAAGAAAAACCTGTGCCAACTTTGCAAGGTTTGAGTACCTAGTCTTCTTTGTTTTCCACCAGTCGAATGGAGATTTCTCAGGTTCCAAAAGTTCCTCACTACAAAACAACTGAAGTTCATGTTCCATCTTTTCCCGTAGATTATCAGTTGAGTGCTCAGAAGCAGTCTGCTTCTTCTTATCTACCATTTTCTTGAATATTTCCCACACAGTCTTCTTTGACGTCGTAGCAGTCTCTGATGACTCAGTCGCACTAGCAGACTGCTTTTTGATGTCAGATTCACATGCACTCGGAGTTTCGATAACTTGAGGATTCTTAGCATTGTCTAACATCAGCTGCACTATTTCTTTTGCTGTCCGGTCTCTGGCTGTGTCATCATTGAACCCATAATTCTTGAACCTGGGATCGAGGTATGTGGGTATTGCAAACTCAAGCTTCATCTCATATTCAGGCCATCTGGCATTGATGTTGGCATGTATCTGCTTTCCAAAGTCATTCATTTCAACGTCTTTCATCTGCTCATTCAAAACGTGCAGGACTGGGATTATCATTGAGCTTGTAGCATATCTAGACGCAGACATCATGTTTGTTGCATCCTCAAATGGTTTCAGGGCACTTACATAACTTGCAGCGATCTTCCACTCAGATTTTTTAAGATCATTTATCTTATCGTTCGTA